TTTTTTATTTCCCCCCCCCCAACAGCAGCAGCTCAGAAGAAAGATCCATCGGTCTTCTGGGTGGCCCCTTGTTGCGTGGAAGTGCCCGCTGACCCCTTTTACCTCTGTTTGGCCACCAACTTCTTCTCCCAAGAGTTGACCATCGAGCGGGAGCCACCGTGGGCCTCCCCCTCCCTCTCCTTCCCGCTCTTATTGGCCAGGAGTGTCCAATCAGAAGGCTACATCGCCAGCCGAGCCTACAAGGTCCCCAACGGTGGCTACCCCGTGACGTGCCGCGTCCACAACACTGGTTCTCAGACCAGTGTCCTCAAGAATTTGACCAAGGATGGTAGGACATGGCGGGGGGAGAGGGTTGGGGACGTGGGGTGACCTCGTGGTGGCCACCCATCTCCACGTCCCTCTTGGTGGCCCTGGGGGAACCCCCGTGTGAAGGTGACTTCGTGGTGGCCACCCATCTCCACGTCCCTCTCGGTGGCCCTGGGGGAACCCCCGTGTGAAGGTGACTTCGTGGTGGCCACCCATCCCCACGTCCCTCTCGGTGGCCCTGGGGGAACCCCCGTGTGAAGGTGACTTCGTGGTGGCCACCCATCCCCACGTCCCTCTCGGTGGCCCTGGGGGAACCCCCGTGTGAAGGTGACTTCGTGGTGGCCACCCATCCCCACGTCCCTCTTGGTGGCCCTGGGGGAACCACCATGGGTGGCCCTGTTGGGACCCCAGGGGGAAGGTGACCTCATGGTGGCCATCCATCCCCACGTCCCTCTTGTAGCTTGTAGGTCACAGCCGGAAACACTCGAGGTGGTCCTGGTGGAACCCCGATGTGAAGATGGTGGGGATGAGGTGGATCTGGAGCTTCTCTGCATCTTCTGGAGCTCCGCGGTGGAGAAGATCGAAGTGTCCTGGCTGCTGAACGGGGAGGAGATGCCACCTCCCACCTCCACCAGTGAGGTGGAGGGTGGGAGGAGCTCGTTGAAAATCAAGAGGTCCAGCTGGGACAAAGGGGACCTCTACACCTGCAAGGTGACCACGTCGGGGGGAAGGAACGTGGTGATGAGGAACACCAGCAAGTGCACGGGTAAGGGGTGGGGCGGTGGGATGGGTGGATGGTTGGGTGGTGGGTCAGAAGGTTGGTTGGGGTCTACAGAGATGGTGGGATGGATGGATGGGTGGACAACTGGGATGAACAGGTGGTGGGATGGATGAGGAGAAGGTTGGTTGAGGTCTACAGAGATGGTGGGATGGTTGGGTGGTGGGTCAGAAGGTTGGTTGGGGTCTACAGAGATGGTGGGATGGATGGATGGGTGGACAACTGGGATGAACAGGTGGTGGGATGGATGAGGAGAAGGTTGGTTGAGGTCTACAGAGATGGTGGGATGGTTGGGTGGTGGGTCAGAAGGTTGGTTGGGGTCTACAGAGATGGTGGGATGGATGGATGGGTGGACAACTGGGATGAACAGGTGGTGGGATGGATGAGGAGAAGGTTGGTTGAGGTCTACAGAGATGGTGGGATGGTTGGGTGGTGGGTCAGAAGGTTGGTTGGGGTCTACAGAGATGGTGGGATGGATGGATGGGTGGACAACTGGGATGAACAGGTGGTGGGATGGATGAGGAGAAGGTTGGTTGAGGTCTACAGAGATGGTGGGATGGATGGGTGGTGGGTCAGAAGGTTCCTTGGGGTCTACAGAGATGGTGGGATGGACGGATGGGTGGACAACTGGGATGGACGAGTGGTGGGACGGGTGAGGAGGTTGGTTGAGGTCTACAGAGATGGTGGGATGGATGGATGGGTGGACAACTGGGATGGACGGGTGGTGGGACGGGTGAGGAGAAGGTTGATTGAGGTCTACAGAGGTGGTGGGATGGTTGGGTGGTGGGTCAGAAGGTTGGTTGGGGTCTACAGAGATGGTGGGATGGATGGATGGGTGGACAACTGGGATGGACGGGTGGTGGGATGGATGAGGAGAAGGTTGGGTGAGGTCTCCAGAGATGGAGGGCTTGGTTGATGGATGGATGGAGGGACACCAGCTGATGATGGATGGATGGATGAGGAGATCCAAGACCCTGGTGGCCGGATGGACCTCCCCCCCCACCCAGATGTCCCCCACGGATGCCCACCACTCAAGGTGGACCTTCTCACCCTCTCTCTCTCCCCACAGCCTGTTGGGGGGCCACCACGACCCCCAACCTCTTCATCACTCAACCCTCCTACGCCGACCTCCTGGCCGGCCAGGCCGTGGCCACCTGCCTTCTCCTGGGGTGGCACCTCCGGGGGGCCACCCTCTCCTGGGAGGGGGACACCCTGGGGACCCCGGGACTCACCCCTCACCCCAACGGCACCCAAGGTCTTCTCCTGACCCGCCCCGTCTCCCTCAGCCAGTGGGTGGCCGGTGACACCCTCAGGTGCTTGGCCACCCTCCCCTGTCGCCCCAGCCTTCACCAGAACCTCCAACTGGGACCCAACAGTGAGTTATGGGGGTGTACTGGGACATACTGGGCCATACTGGGCTGTACTGGGCCATATGGGACCATACGTGGTCATACTGGGCCCTACTGGGTTGTACTGGGCCCTACTGGGCCATACTGGGCCGTACTGGGCTGTACTGGGATGTACTGGGCCATATGGGACCATACGTGGCCATACTGGGCCCTACTGGGTTGTACTGGGCTGTACTGGGCCATACTGGGCTGTTCTGGGCCCTATGGGACCATACGGGACCATACGTGGTCATACTGGGCCATATGGGATCATACTGGGCTGTAGTGGGCTGTACTGGGCTGTACTGGGCCCTATGGGACCATACGGGACCATACGTGGTCATACTGGGCCTTACTGGGTTGTACTGGGCCATATGGGACCATACGGGACCATACGTGGCCATACTGGGCCCTACTGGGTTGTACTGGGCTGTAATGGGCCATACTGGGCCATACTGGGATGTACTGGGCTGTAGTGGGCCATACTGGGATGTACTGGGCTGTACTGGGCTGTAATGGGCCATACTGGGCTGTACTGGGCCATATGGGACCATACGGGACCATACGTGGCCATACTGGGCCCTACTGGGTTGTACTGGGCCATACTGGGCCATAATGGGCTGTTCTGGGCCCTATGGGACCATACGTGGCCATACTGGGCCCTACTGGGTCATACTGGGCCCTACTGGGTTGTACTGGGCCCTACTGGGTTGTACTGGGCCATACTGGGCTGTACTGGGCCATATGGGATCATACTGGGATGTACTGGGCTGTAGTGGGCTGTACTGGGCCGTACTGGGCCGTACTGGGCTGTACTGGGCCATATGGGACCATACGGGACCATACGTGGCCATACCAGGCCCTACTGGGTTGTACTGGGCTGTAATGGGAAATACTGGGCCGTACTGGGCTGTACTGGGCCATATGGGACCATACGGGACCATACGTGGCCATACCAGGCCCTACTGGGTTGTACTGGGCTGTAATGGGAAATACTGGGCCGTACTGGGCTGTACTGGGCCATATGGGACCATACGGGACCATACGTGGTCATACCGGGCTCTACTGGGTTATACTGGGATGTACTGGGCTGTAGTGGGC